AAAGAAGCAAAGGTTTAGCTTAATGGGATGGAAAATTGTTTTGGTGTATGGTGGTAGGCGGTTTGTTTTTAGTTGAGCTTTATTTATGCGGAAAAATACGTTTTATAATAGATCCAAAAGACCATAATTCACACAGAACAACCATCACTCACACACACACATACACACACACACTGATAATTAAAACAATCAGTTTGATACACTGACATGAACACAGTGTATAGATGCTGTGTAGGTGGGGACATAGTCTAATGTTTTACTTACTGGTGAGACATGAAATATGACACAGCTGTGAGTTCGAAGCGCATCAGATGGCAAAAACATGCACAGGGATTTATAATGTTGTAAGAAAGAAGCTTTTTAGGCATCATTTTTGACATCTAACTGAAATTGGATAAACAAGGCAAGGCATTCATTCAGTGCTGCTACTTTCACCTGAACAATATTGCAAAACAAGTCACAGCTGAAGACTTTTCTATACATGAGTTTTTAATGTTTTTGTTATTATTGTGCTGTGTCTACGGTTGTGATGTTTTTTTTAACTTTCTATTCTTCTGTAAAACACTTTAAAAAGTGGTTTTAAAGGTGCCATAAAATAAAATTTTACCTACTTTACATATGTCAATAAGTTTGTATTAAAGGTTCACACGGGAGTGGATATTCACTCTTGTACCATCCAATCCTGGGAGAACGACTGCCGTCACATACAATTTCCAATTAAAAAACAAAAAAACTGCTAATAAAGGAACTGCATGTCTATATAAAAAATAAAAATATATATAAAAACTGATCTGTGAGTCCCAGCATGCCCGCTTCCATTGACTTTTTTCTCTACAACTATTTTGTTGATGTCAAAAAGGAATGTGCCAGTCCCATCCCCTCTGTTTGATTGACAGGCAACTTCAGACGTTAAAAAGCAGAAACAACTAAGGTAAAAAGACTAAAAAGAAATGGGAATTTTACTAATTTAACAAATGAAAAAAAGTTAAAGAAACTGCGTTAAAACATGGCTTGCTGGTAGCTGGTCTGCCATTGACTAGTGTTGGTGGGGTCTTCCCTCCGTGTGACCTCTGCTGGTGCCGGTGACCCTGCCGTGACATCCCAGGGGTCACCAGGGGAAGGAAACAGATGTCACAGACCTTCTTTATGACGATCTTCATGTACACAGAGTCCCTCAGCCCCCGTTTAACATTGGCGGTTTGTTTTCAGAAGCTTTTCTGTTTCCGAGCCGTTAAGACATCAGCTGAGGAACGCTGGAGTGTTTGGGAAAGTCCAGCACAAACAGAATCTCATAAATGATTCCTCATTGAATACGGGGTGAAAATGCATGACTCCAGACCAGAAATGTGTGTAAAACACTAAGGGGCAAATTTTCAACCATTTCAAGATCCAACAGGGATCTAAATGCCCTTTATATTTCTTTCAACTACATGAGATTTGCCTATAATTATTCTCCTTTCGTACACTCAAGAGTTCACCACTGCGCATCACCCCTAACACACCATGTATGTGTTGCGATGGCACTGTGGATAAGACACATGCCTTGCATTTGACCTCTGACATATATAGCAATTGTAAATCGCATTGGATAAAAGCGTCAGCTATGTAAATGTCCTACGCGGGAAAATCAACAAATCATTATGAATCTGGGCATCCAAATGTAGACTTTGTTGGTTTTGACTTTGAAGCACCAGAACTAGAAAGCTATTAAAAAAGGTAACAGTGTGCTGTAAACTCTCACCTGAAAAATAGCTTTAAAGGTCGACAATGTAGCAGCTTATTACAACCCATATTTATGTTTTTTGGTAAGGCTGTGACATTTAGCGGCAGAAGAAGTCAGATAACGTAAGATAAAGAGCGACAAAGTCCATGTAAAGAGGCAGTGGGGTGGAGGATGTGTCAAGTAAACTCCGAACTTTAAATCAGGAGACACAGGTTAAAGTTCTGTGTCAAAGAAAGTAACAGGTGACATGTTTTAAGTTGAATAACGTTTTGTAGATGACTTATGTTGTTGCCTGAACCTAACCAAACTACCACTGTTTCACAACGTTTACCACGCCTCAAAACGTCATGTGACTTAAGTCTTGTACTTACGGTCCTGTGTGCCTGTTGCTTTACTGATACTTGCCAACTCTCTTATATGTCGTTTTGGAAAACGCTCTTACATGTCGTTTTGGAAAACGCTCTTACATGTCGTTTTGGAAAACGCTCTTATATGTCGTTTTGGAAAACGCTCTTACATTTTGTTTTAGAAAACGGTCTTATATTGTTTTGGAAAAAAGTCTTATATGTTGCTTTGGGACACTTGACAATCGACCTATTTTGTTGTTTAAGTATGAGAAGGTGTTGACACTTACACTGAAGCCTAAAATAGCAGCTATTTAACTCCGAAGTCACATCAAAACCACTTTTCCATAGTCATCACGACAGTCAGGTGAATTTTAGGCACAGTCCCACAGCTGGTTCATATGTTTGTCCAAAGTTTTTGAGTGTTCCACTTGCTGACTGCATGACTAAATATACTGTAAATCTCAGGTAATCAGGGTTGTACTTTAACCACACTTACAACCTCTTCTGCTCTCCTTGGCCATTAATGTATTGTCACCTTGATCTGAAGTCTGGAAAAACAATAAAAATTCCTCACCTGCACTAAAGCGGTACAGTGGCACTCATTAGCCAAAATAAAACCGACTCATGAGTGTGAGTGTACTGTAAGTCGCTTTGATTTTGTTCTTCACTACATTAATAACGTTATGTCTGCTGATAGAAGACTGCCTTTAATCAGCCATTAACAGTACGTGTTTAAATTATATCATAATGCTGAAGTGACTTTATGACTTTACAGGTTTTGATATTCTTAATATTTGACAAAAATTTAAAATACAGTATTTCCATTCACAAATGACCCCTTGAAGATATGACTGATTTGTCATCTGCTACTTGTAACTGTAATCTGAAGACCCTATAAATTACCATGCACTCATGCACCAACAACACTTTTAATCTCAGTTTTAACCAATTGAAAGTTTTGCTGTGATGAAAAACAGTCCTGATAAATTCATTTCATGAAGTTTCTTCCTTTATAGCTACACTTTTCTTTTTCTTGTACTGAGGATTTACATTGTTAAAAATCTTACATAATCCATCTGTGTCACCTGTCTGTAATTTACATTATGTCTTCCTAAATACATTTTGAACCTGTTTACGACCAGCGTCCGGGTGAACTTGACTCCAGAGGCTCCGCAGGGTGGAGAGCAGCAGTAAAACTTGCCGTCCAACATTAAAAGAGATGGCTGATCAACAGCAGATGAGGACGGTGACGCTCTGATTCAACGTTGCATGTCACTGGCTTTAGAAAAGCGAGTGAAACCCAGAAATACGGCGCCGTTGATCTCGTAAATCAGCAGGACGGTAACTAAACACTGGACCTGGAGGTGAATGTCTGCACTGTAACTAGGAATCAAACATACAACAAGAGTCCATCATACCTACACTAACTGCAATAACATGCGATGATGGACTACCATCAACATGAGGCTACGACTTAGAAAGAAACATGCACATGTTGCAAATAGGGGATTTCTGTTGCTATCAGTTTGCAATAATTGTACAAATATCTCAGCTAGGAATGGCAAATCAAATGATAGGTTATAAAGGAGCGGTGTTACAACAGGACTGACTTCACTTTCATTTGTGATGGGTGGGTTTTGCACACTTTAATCTGAAAAGTCTGAAATTAGCTGGGAAGAGGTTGTGTCCAATAAAATCATATCTCCGGCTACACTGAGCCTGATTTGAGCATATACACGTGCAACAGACTGTGAGATTCTTACAAATTCTAAATGCAGTTTGTAACAAGTCAGAAAACAGACATACGCATAATACAACATGGTGCAAATTGGCAACATTAGATCTAAACAAGGTGATGTGAGCTGTGGGCAAAACTGCAGCTGCCAGCCAATGGCTTTTGACCTTCTGTACAAGGCTTTGGTTGCAAAATATAAAAACATACATATACTGCCTTTTCAATCATTGTAAAGAATAATGTTTTACTGTTTATTTACATTCAGAAAGAACAGTTACTGTTGTTTAAGACACTAGTTAAAACTTCAGCATCTACATGTTACCTTTTTTGGCACTTTGTTTAACTTGATGCAGTTCTGGTCTGTGATGATTTATCTGAGTCAGTAAGAAGTTATTATCCTTGATTATTGCAGTGAAAACAGTAATTAATCAAGTTACATGGCATTTAAACTGTTAAATGCCACGTGTAAAAGTCTTTAATACACAGACGACGCATTGCTGAGCTCTTATCAAACTTTTGTGTTTTTGTGAGTTCATCACGATTTGAAAAGGAGTCTGTACACTACAAATAAAATAATTGTACCCCCACATGAAACTTCTTCAGCCCTCGGGATGGATTTTTGTGCAGACTTGTGTCTTCATTTGTCAGACACATTGCTGTCTTAAAGATACGTGTAGTGGAGAAATGTGGACGGACCACCCACCCTGCTGGTGCTGAAACAGGGTCCACAGAGGGCCGTTTCACTGTTTCCGCAGGTCACTCGTGTCCGACTCGTTAAATTTGTGAAGCAGGAGGAGGACGGTGTGTTTATGCTCAAACCATATAACAGCTTGATGAAGACACTTGCTGTACAAAAGCAACGGGGAAAAAACTAACCAAATTCAAAGCTTGTGTCAAATGAGCATTTTGCATGTTTGAATAAACAAAGTTTCAGCATGTTGGTTGAACTCCAAAACTGTGGCTTGTGGACGGACAGCATAGGGTCATAAATCTCCTCTGAGATGAGTTACTGCAGCTCGGGGACGCTCGGGTGTTTTGGACGGGGGACTGGCATGTGAAAAGATCACACCATAGCTCGTGGAAAATATCCAACCACGCAAAGTGTCCCACAGAGGATTTTCTGACATTCTCAACCACATGACTGAATTCATTAGAGGAGAAAACAGTTGTTGTACTGAAGACAAATATCTGCACATCAGCAACCAAATTCACATTTATTTTACATCTGAGTGATTCACAGCTGATGTTTTCTAATCAGTGTGAATTTCAAGAAGCTGCACAAAGTCACATTTCTACAGTTTCTGTTGGGACAACAAGGACTTGAGTCACAAAATATGACAAACATGATTTTTAAAAGAGGCTTTGTTGACTTGACAATCAGTAAATTTCCTAAAATGTATGGTATCTTTAACAACAATAACAAAAAAAATATAAATTATGTTACCTACACATAAAGCAATCAAGCAATTACTCCTCTGTGTACCGTAAGTGGTGAAAACACTTCACAGATATCTTTACAATAAAGACAACTGTCATGGCTTCCATCTCTACATAGTCTCTCTCTTTTTGTGTGTGTGTGTATGCGTGTGTGTGATTACTCAAGCAGAGTCAGGTGTGTCGGTCCTGAGCTGATCCTCACCAGGTGTCTCCCATTCTGCAGTCAAGTCTCCTACAAGAACGCACCTTGCCAGGTCGTAGCTCGTGCTCATTCTGTCTGCTCCAATTGCTGTTTTCAACAGTTAACCTGTTGGTTTTGCGTCTCAGTTCTGGCCTCTGCTTGGTTTGCTAATCCCTGGACGCTGTTCTGGCACACACACACCGCTCCCAAGCTCGGATTCCCCCAAAATTCGTTCACCCCTTGGATCAAGTTCACTCCCTGCTCACATTTATTAAGGTTGTAAATAAATCATCTTGCAAGTTCTACTCATGCCTCCTGTCTCCCTGTGTCTGGCTCTTGGGTTCACTAGCTCTGTTGTAACAACATCTGTCCTTTATTGACTTTTATATTTGGGTGATGTCCAGTTCTTGTGTTTTTTGGGGGGTAATATTAACTGTAAATAAAAACAGATGAAATGATTAATGTTCTATACACCCAAAACCAACGTGCAGAGTAGGAACCTGCAATCTCAGGCTGCACACAGGAGTAAGAAATTACGTTTACTCATATTACTCATATGGCTTTTTTGTATACTTTTTGTGTATGTGCAAAATCAGTCATTTTTCTTTTAAGAACTTTCTAGCACAAGTAGGCTATTGCATCTGTTACAGAGTAAAAACTAAAGTTGCATGAAAGAGGGCTTGGTGGTGTGATGTTGTTCCACTAGACATTAAATGCATCTTATTTAGTAGCCTAAAGTTGTTCTTTAATTCAACATCAATATCATAAATCTTCATATTACAAAAAAGATTTTCTGTTTGGATATGTAGCCACATCCAAATGCTCATACTGATGGTGTGATACATCAACTTGAACCCTTTCTTTGGTGACCAATTCACAACCAATGAGCTAACCGCTGTACCTGATCTCACCTGGATATAAGCAAGGCAGACATGATGAGTGAAGAACATTTTGTTCTAATCGATACGTCTGTTGTCAAATAATCAACAAATTTAACAATTAGTTAATCAATTTCTCATGCAAAAAATGTCAAACATCCTTCCCTCCATGCAGCTTCTAAGTATTTGTTCTCAGCTTTATATCATTATAAATTAAATATATTTGGGTTTTGGACTGTTGGTCGTTTTTTTCACTCTCCTGTCATTTTTTAAAGATTAACAAATTAATTAATTAACCCTCTAAGACCTAAGCCTTTTTTGGTCAGTTTTCTCTATTTATACATTTGGGCTTATAAACCATATGTAATGGAGATGTGGTTTGATACAACCTGATCTCCCTGAAATACGTGATTGGTATCTATGGATTCAGAAGACCCTAAGCTAACATAAGCATGTAATGTGCTTGCAAAGGAAGTATGAGTGAAAAAAATGAATAAAATGGAGAATTTAATAAATGAAAATTAGATTTTTGTGATTTATTAATATAAAATACATGGCACAATATGAACTGATATGAAAATAATCATTCCTTGCTGCCATATCCTCAACTATATAAGATCCTTTGTTTAAAACCCTGACATTTTTCAGTTTGCTCTCTTTACGTCTTGATGTAAAGCTGCTCTACTTTCTGCTTCTGCATTGTGTTCTGAAGAACGTTGGTCATGTGCATGCAGCCTGAATTTGACAGTGACTGCATGTCTAGCAGCTAGACCAGATAGAAATGGAGAGGCTGTAAAAACAAGATGGCTGCCAAACTCGCCTTGAGCTTGTTGCATCAGTGGTTGTGGTCCTCCGGGTGTGCTGGGTTCATATCCAGAGGTGAGGGGGCGTCACAGACAGTGAAAGATTTGAAGGAGTGGGATTTCTCAGCCCCGTGTTTTGTCTGCAGTTCTCTTTGTGTACAGTCACAGCGGACAGACGGATCTTAGTTTGACGTCGGAGGACAGGGTGCAGTGTCAGGCCTCGGAGACCAGCGGCACGTTGTGAAGCTGAGATCAAAGATGACCAATCGCTGGCTGGGCTGCTTCTCTTCACACAACAGGCAGAAGTAATATCTCACATGGGTGGAGCTGACTTCATGACATCATGGTGGAATAATGGAGATTTGGATCAGTCTCTTTTTCTTCTCAGCTGCAAAAACAACACACAGGCTTATAAAGAGGAGAGCAGAGTGAGTTTCAGAGGCAGAAATCTAACAGGTAGGTATCAATCTTCAAACATACTGTATGTATAAGACACGCAGCGTCCAGTGAGACCTACACCGTCCAGAGAGACCTGCAGCGTCCAGCGGGACAGAGAGACCTGCAGCCTCCAGAGAGACACGCAGCATCCCGAGAGACCTGCAGCCTCCAGCGGGACCTGCAGCATCCAGAGAGACATGCACAAGGGTTTCACTCTGTGCTGAAAAGGGGTGGGGACATTTAAGGGCTCAGATTAGGGGTGCAGTGATACACTTAACTTACGATACAAGATGATGCACAATAATGGGGTCACGAGAACAAGACAAGAATATATTAAAATCAGTATTCACTGATGTGATATATGATTTAGGCGGTCTGGTGATCCTCCCCAAGAACATTTTGAGCATTCTAGAGAGATTTTCCGCACTAATTTATGGTTGAATGGTTTATTTATAAAGGGAAACACAGAATTCTTGGACAATGTAGCCTACATTTGTTTCTTAGATATTTACATCGCATTGCATGTTTTCTTATTGTGCAAAAAATCTAATAATTTCATTTGTTTTTAACATTACTTTCAAAAAGTGGTGGGGACAAAATCAGCCATCTCAAAAAGTGGTGGGGCACCCAGCGTCCCCAGTGTAAGTGACACCTATGGACATGCAGCATTCAGAGAGACATAGAGGTGGTGATGCTGCAGTGGACAAGACACATACTGTACCTCTGGTATGGGAGGCCGGGTTTTGATTCCCACTGTTGACATCCACCAGTGTGTCCCTTAGCAAGACACTTAACTGCTCCATGGGGGTGCGACCTCTGACATGTGCAGCAATTGTAAGTCACTTTGGATAAAAGTATCAGCTAAATGATAACTGAATAATAAATAAAACACTTAAAATTACTTAATTAAAGCATTCAGAGAAGCATGACTATTCCCTCCTAAAATTAAGAGCTTTTGTTGTGGACAAAGTTAAAAATTTGGCCTGCTGGTGGCACAAAATTCAAAATCAATGGCATCATGAAAAAATTAGGCTTCACTCTCTGACTGTCAATATGTGCGCCACATTTGGGTCATTCATTTTCATGGAAAATGGTTGATCCTCTGGGACGAATCGGTGTCATTGTAATTATGTTTATATACTGATTTATTTTGACAAATATGCTTCAGAGGAAATATGATTGCTCCCTGGATTATGTTCACTGGCAATATTTTTTGCTGTTTTTTTGTTTCTTACAGGATTATTAAGAATTATTTCTGGGGGAGGACAAAGAAACACCGTTTTTAAAGTCCCTGTTGTGAAAACTATTAAAGGCTGTATAAACACACAGCAGGGGTGAAACTGTGAGGCTACAGTTTGTGTAAACAGCATGACAGATACCTGCATGGTTTTCTTTACTGTCAGACATGAAAAGTGTTCAGTGTCTGGAGAGTCACAGTGCAGGAATGGCCTGCAGAGTGCTGCCACCTAGTGCTGAAACACATACTTACACAGAAATATGAGGGATCTGTCTTTGTAGAGCAACAAATTTAGATCTTTTTAACACTTTTTTAAAGGGAAATGCAGTGACAAATAACTGTGGAAAGGTTTGTGCTCCAGGCTTACAGGCTTTCCTTCTTCCTTAACTTCTAGTCTTCTTACCATGTGCTTATATTGTTGTCCTTGTGTAGGTACCTGGTTCATGATTCATCTCATATGTACTAAATAATTGCACTGTAATCTTCAGGCTGTAATCTAAAGCATTGATGGGTTTTCTTTCAAAATATTTTTTATATATATAAATGAAAAAGCAGGAGCATTTAGTCGACAACTTTGTCTTTCTTCACCGTGGCCATTTCTCTCATAGACACATAACCTACTGCAATTTTAACTGTAAGTTTCTTTGCAAAAGCACCTGCAGGACAAGCTTGCAAACATCTTGTGAGGGCTGAGCGCTATCTTTCTTCACTTTCAACCGAAATGATCCAAGTGGGACTTAAATGAACGCAGTAAAAATAGTGAAAAGGAAAAAAGTTCCTTCTGCAGTGGTCTGAGCTCTTCCCAGATGGATCATCCACAGCTGAAAACACTGACTGTGTTTATGTTTAGGGGGAAAGTTTCACATCAATCATCTGTTTGAGACACTTTGAGCCCGTCGGTGGGCTGATGGACCAGATATAGGCAGGGAGAGTCACTTTCAAAGCTACTCATTTTACAATTCATACATATTCTGTGCACAGAACAGCAAAACTTTAAACAGAAGCTGTAATGAAGAAGGAATAAAGAGCTGCATGTGAGCCACATTTCAGTAAAACCTCTAGTTTTTATAGCATTTAAAACAACGTTTCACAGCAAAATCAATTCCTTTCAATGAAATTGCCGAAATCAGTGGATTTGTTTGTTATTGACAGTCATTGTTGTTTTCTTTTAACCACGACCATGATCTTTCCATAACCAAAAAGGTTTTTATTGCCTAAATTTAACCAAAGTTTAACTATCATAGCGATGTTAGAGCACAAAATGCTCAGACGTTTTTGAAGACAATGTTGTTTAGTTTAGAGAACTATTTTTAAACCACCAATGGAGGTGTCAGAGGTGGATATATATGTTTTTTCATTTTACAAATAGTGGTTGGAATCTAAAATCTTATTGTATATATTCAGTATGTGCGTTTCTGTCACTTTAATAAAGTATTTTACTCCTAATTGAAGCCATACATGCTGTTTAAAATTAGTGCTACATTTAATGAGATTACCGGATGGTTTGGGCATCATTTTGTAAATTCCCCAAAATTCTTCTTGACATATTTGGTGTACTTAGAAATGTTTGTCCTCCACTGGAATTTCAGTCTTATGTGTTTCAACAAACTTTGTCCACACAGCACAGTTAAAGTTATTAATCCTCTGGAGAGACAGTTAGTGAGGAGGGTAAAGTAACTCGAATAAACTCTGCCTAACTATGCTTCAGCTTCCCGGTCACCGATGTGTATCTGACGGCAACCTGTAAGGAAAATTCTGGGTTCGTTCTCGACCAGAACCAGACTGCACAGTCCAGTCATCTACACAAATATCCTCGCCTCACACTCACATGGTGACACCTCCCACTGTATGTTTTCCTTGGCTGCCGAATGCACCGAGGGTGCAATACATTGCACATTCCCTCTGGTACTATTTAATATATTGACTCCAAAACTCACAAATGCAGTAACCAAGTGGAATGTTCCGGACCCAAAACTGGACGGCCGAACAGTCGCTGACCTCAACAGACCTGAGGACGTTTTTATTCCAGCCTACTGTCCAGTTTATGAGTTTGTTGGGCCCAGCATTCTGCATACTGGAGGCATTTCTGCTTAAAACATCTTTAGCTATGATTTAGTGGTGATCTGAATGAAAATACGCCAAGAAGAGTAATAAAATAAACAATGGCGGGAACACTGCGTGACAAGAGAAGGTTTGACCAAAGTGTTTATCACATGGTGTAATAAGAGAGCTGGAAACTATGTCAGAGTCCTCTGAATGGTGGAAATCACAGACTTAGCTTGTCGGGCTCAGTTCTACGTTACCAAACTTTAAAATGTGGCAAATGCTGAAAATTAGCATTCATGTTGTTAATGTTAGCATTCAGGTGCCACATGTCCTGGTCACACCAGCATTTTAAAAACAAATTTATTTCAATGGAATAACAGTGGGCGGCACAGTGATGCAGTGGTTAGCAAGAAGGTCGTGGGTTCAAACCCCGGTTCCCCCGGCCTTTCTGTGTGGAGTTTTCATGTTCTCCCCATGTCCGCGTGGGTTCTCTCCGGCTTCCTCCCACCATCCAAAGACATGCGGCCTAGATTGATTGGTGACCCTAAATTGTCCGTAGGTGCGAGTGTGAGCGTGACTGGTTGTCTGTCTATGTGTGGCCCTGCGATGTGGACTGGCGACCTGTCCAGGGTGTACCCCGCCTTTCGCCCGATGTCAGCTGGGATTGGCTCCAGCCCCCCGTGACCCTGTACGCAGGATAAGCGGTTGATGATGGATGGATGGAATTACAGTGTTCAGTGGATTCACTTGTGTTAAATACACACAAATGTTTCACTGAACTTGGTGACCTGGCAGTGCTGAGCTTTAAGGGAACGGAGGACTGGAGAGTCCAAACTGAATCACAGAATAAACAGCTCCTCAAAAGAAACATGGTATTAAGACAGTAGTCATGGAACAAATACTTTATGTCTTTTGAATGAACTGAGTGAATTTATTGTTCTGTCTTTCGCTCGGCAGCTTCAGTAGTTCACAGAAACAATCACAGTCACTAGTTTTCATCAACGACAAGTTCGTGAAAACATGTGGATTAATTTCACTGCCACTTTCTGGTTTGGCCAGTCTTTTATAGTACAGTAAGCTGAATTTAGCATGCATACAGGTCAAAGTTCTTCAGGAAATTTAACGTATTGTCCTAAAATGCTCTGATCCAGTTTGTTTCTGTGTTTCTGTCAATCTGTCCATGTTCAGAACAACCGACTCTTGAACTTAGGCTGCAAACATTTTTATTTCAGCCCAGAGACCCAAATAATTCATCACAGCTGACTCTGCCGAAACTTGTACTCATGCTGCCGACGTCAACCTCAGTTATATTTAGTTTTTCTGTACTGCACATATGGTCATGGCGGCTTAGCATGGCGAGCAGAGCGGAGGCAGGCGGCTTTACAGAAGCTTTACTCTCTCTGGCAGACATGACTTGCCGGCTTTCGAACATTAAGACTTGATTTGGAAGTCTGACACAGCAGCTGGTCGTCGTAATGAGCCGTCTCACCCACGATCACTGCTCAGGGTTACCGACTTAGAGGGATTTCTCTCCCAGATTCCCATTTGGAAGGCAGACAGAAAGCATCATGCTGCTGAATGCAGAATGAGAGAGGAAATCTAAGACTGAGTAACCGTTTATGATTCCTCATTTCCTTCCCTACCTCTTCTCTTTCCTATTACTTTTCCCAAGTGCCGTTTTAAAACAGTAATTAGAACAGCTATAAGATAACCTTTAAGGAGGCTATTTCTACCTCTGACACCTGGTAAAGGCACCCTGTGGGGTTTTCCGGTAAACACAGTTATGTTTACATTCAGTGTTTCTCCCCCAAAACTATCTCAAATCAATTTCCTCAGTCAGGAAAGAAGAACTTAACACCTCCTAAAAAGCTTGTTTTGCTGCCCTCCAGTGGCTTACCTTCTCACCTTGCTGCAGTGATGCACAGGTGTACTCCAGAGCACCGTGACATCACTGATGGGTGTGGTCCAACCACACCCATCAGGGCTGCTGGCTCTGGTCAGAGGCTTTAAACATTTGACCAAAGAGGACAACAAAAGGAATATTACCTGCAAAGCACTGCTTTCCTGTATTTTGATGACAGGAAGCTGTTTCTTGGCACTTTGCTGCCACCAAATGTCAAATGGTGGAATAACAAGACTTCGAAGGACATTACACAGTATACCCCCCCCCATCCCTTTCTTCCTTCCCCTTCACCAGTTCCTTAAATCCCCTGTTCATTTTCTTCATGTTTTACAAGCACTACACAGTACTGCCTTACCTTGACTGAGTCTCTCTTCACTTTCATCCTTAAACCTGCAATAATGATTTATTTTTGGCCACTTGCGGGAAGTGGAAACAAGTTGTGAACACAACACTTGACACGTCATCATAAACTTATGAGCAGACAGTGCAGAGCAGCTTGATTGTTCTTTCAGAGGCTTGTTTGTGTCACCTGTAAATCCAGTATTCACTATTTATTTAATCATAAAATACATGAGTTTTGATGGCTGAAATATTTTGTTGTGAAAACAAAATTCTTTAAAGCAATTAAGCAATTGATCATGAAAAAAAGTGTATAAAATATCTGTAACACAAAAACATGGTCACATATTCATCTGAAAGGTAAAACTACAATATGCTAGAAATAACAACTTGATTCAAGCTTCAGGTTTTTCTCTTTTCCTTCCTGTGTCAATAACAAAGTCATTAATGTGACGTGAGAATTAGGGTTATGAACAAAAATTTAAATGATATTAATGCTCTCCCAGATTTAGATTGTGATCAATTTTCTAAATATATCTATACATATCAGTCACTCAGTGAGTGAATTCTCATAAAAGCTCTCGTCTAACTATTAGTAACTGCAGTGACATGAGCTGTAACTACACTGCAGCCTCTTATTTGTTTAGTCTGTTAACGGTGGTGAAAATGCTCCAGCTGACGAAGAAAATTTCAAAGAGCTGTAAGTCACTGTGTCATCATAATCTTTACCAATAACGTTTGAAATAAAAGAGAAACGGCACGAAACATAAATTAAGCAACATAACATGGCACAACGACATTCAGCATGTTGTAATCCAACTCAATGACAGACAACAGTGCAAAGCATCATCCTGACATTAAACTGCACATAAACTCAGGGAATTATTAAATGAAATACATCAAAACATACATAAACTCATTGTGATACGCCACAGTACAGTGTAAAACTGTATAAGCACAACACAAGTAACTAAATCCTTGTCTCAGAACACATCACACTGTAACACACTGCCACAGACAGCAATGCAAGACAACTTATTACAAAGTCCTCACAAGCTGTCTGCCAGTTGATCGGGCCGTCCAGTACTTTAGAAATGAAGTACTGAAATACTCAACAACTGTTGGATCAATTATAGTGACATTTTATTCAGACATTTGAGTCCAGGAGGATGAATCTTAATAACTTCTGACTTTTCTGACTTCTCCTTTAGAGCCAGAAGCAGTTCAAAGTTTTGAATTATTTTGTGAAATATGTCAACGTCTACTTTATGAATTGGCACAATATTTGGCACAGACATTCATCGCTCACAAAGAACGAACCTTGATGATTTTGGTGATTTCTTGATTTTTCCTTGAGCACCACATTTGTGGTTTTAAGTGAAATGTCTTAACAATTATGAATTGTCATTAAATTTGCTGGCTCCGACTTCTTTCTTTGGATAACCAATCCGACAGCTTACCTGGGCCTTACGGTTGGGCACCTTGGTGTAGCTTTGAAACACCATCTTCAGGAGCCGCCTACAAAGTGAAGACATAAAGTATAAAACTGAGACAGTTGCATAATTTTACTTCTCTTTTTTTTTTTTACTTACTTCTCTTACACTCAGTTGCAGTTGTGTAAATGTAACAGTAATATTTACAACACTTTAGGTATTGCGAAGTCAAAACTCTATAAACATTTGATTATTAAGCTTTAAAACTCACAACATTTTCATCCATCTGTGTTTTGTTCCCTGAAAACACAAAAAAGAGTCGACTTGTAGTTTTGACTCTGGAAATCAAAGTTTTGTTTTAAAAAACATCTTATTAGAACAGTTTCCCTTGAGGTTGCTCTCACCTTTTAGTTTTCGTCCATATTTTGACCGCCACAACACTTATTGAGAGTGCTGCTAAAACTACAGACACAATGATGTACCGCCACCAACCTGGAACTGTACATTAAAAATATTTTTAATGCAGTTTTCTGTTCTATTAATTAGCTTTTTACATAAGTTTGGAAACTTTCTGTACAAAGTAAATCTGTTTCTGTTGGACTAAGCCTGCGTCTATCAGTGAACACATCTATCATGTCTGCATCAACTTTATCTCACTCTGAATGTTTTCTAGAAATCATCATTAAATAGCAGTTTAATATGATAAAGATGTATACAATAACATGCTGAAATGTTTTGTGGTGAAATAAAACCTAAAAACAACTCATATGAAACCCTTCAAAAAAATGTCTTCCCAAAATCAAATTGCAACATATGAGAGGTTAAGAAGTACAAACAGGCTTTTCATTCTTACTTTAAACTTCATATGGAGAGAGGGAGATGTAAGAGTCACTACCTTGTTTCAATGTAGTTTCAACCTTTGTGAGTAGAGTTTCGTTTCTCCCCTCTGTTGTGATACCTTTTGATTTTGTCGTACGAACTGAAATAACACAAGTAATTATTAAAAAAATACAAGAGAAAGAATACTGTTCTAATCATAAATCTTAATGTTCATCATATAAAACCGAATGTACCTGTTTTCTGACATGAGGACTGGGGGCCAACGCTACACAGCAGCATCTGTCCACTCTTGTTATCTGTCACGTTACACTTCAGTAACTCAGAATAGTTTGAATTCTGATTAAGACGAGGAGTAAATACCACAATATCTGAACAGGAACCCTGTGATGTCGCCGTGTCGTTCTCATCGCCCTGATACAACCACTCGACTGTGTGTCCACACTCGCCAAATGTAAACACATTGCAGTACAAGCTGACCTGATCATTGTTCTGAAAGTGTTTCACTGGTGAAGATGGAGATATTGTGAGAGAAAGACAACAAGAGTAAAGTTAACTTCATCACTGTGATCATAATTATTGTAATGTTTCAGTATATTGTTCTAACAAGACAGTTTGAGCTGAAAACATTATGATGGAAATACTCACTGATAATAACAGACAGATGAACCTGAGAGTCTGGACCTTGTTGTTGTCCTGATTTGTTGAACTGTCTGCAGGTGTAACGACCAACATCCTCGTCTGTGACGTTCTTTATAACCAGAGAACAGTTCTCTGTAACACTCATTCTGTCTGATTTAACTTTGGAAATCTCATTTTTACTAATCTTCCCATGTGTAACCAGCTCTGTTGTCTCAATATAACGACTGACAACCCAGGAAGTACTGTCACACTTGTCCTGATTATTTATCACATTTTCACAAGGCAAAGTGACTTCATCTCCAACTTTGACAGTGAAGGAGGGAGAGTTCTGTCCAGTTACAGCTGTTGAAGATGAGATATAAACATAAAAAAATGAACTGTAATAATAATGTCTTTTCTGTTTTATAGTTTTGTGAGGAGAACATCAAATACAACAAACTACATACAGTATTCTCCTTTTACAAGAATAAACTCAACACACCATGTCCAAAACAAACTAAGTAAACTTAAATTAATGTTATATACTTAAATACTGTTATTGATGTTTTGTTATGTTTCTTTTATTCATGTTTTGTGAGACCTTACCTGTAAACTGAAGCACCAGTATCACAAATAAAGACGTATTAATCCAACTGAATCGAACCATTTTGCTTTTCTCTCCCTCTTGTTTTCACCTCCTCAACAATGAAAGTCTCTGCACTTGTGCTACTTTTAGAACAAACCTCATTTACTTCCTATATAAAATATCACTTCCTTTTAGTGACTTGAATTTTTTTTTTAAATTCTTTCAGTTCAAATCAGGTTTTCAGCTCTCGTTTAATTTCTTTATCTTAACCGCCAAAAAGCCAGATGTGTTTCAGTGTGGAGGTACTGACAGGTAGATACTGATGTCTGACAAGCAACAGGCACAAGGATACAGATAAATCAAAATAAAGATCAATACCAAAACAAGACTCTTCCTCATTGTGACTTTCAGTCTGTTTTAGATTTCAGGCTCTCTGAATTTGAGTTTTCTGGCATCCACAGTGACGGAAAACGACATCAAATTCTTGATCAGCAATATGAGATGCAGCCATCAGTAAAGATGTCAGAGGTCACTGCCGCCTGACAAAGATCCTGAAAAAATTGGGAATACAAGGCAAAGGTTTATGTTTCTACATTCGTTTAGCCAATCTAACACAGTAACAAATTAACTATGTTAAGACTCATGCTGTGTATCCAGTTCACGCTGTGTATTTGTGACAATGACGTGTTTCACCTCCTGAAAAAGGGAAGAGGAAGCTGAAGGTGTGAAGACTGTTAAGATAAATGTTTGCAATAATGTTTTCTTTAGATCATGGACGTCGTTAGGACTATTTCAGTCACCATGCAGCAAAGGGTGTAACACTCCTTCAACAAGCCGGTGCTGACTCGGCATTAGAGGGTTTAACAACCCACTACCACTCCGCCCTCATTGGTTTCGGATGGCACCCAATGTGGCGGACCCTCCGCATGCACGTGCAAACAGAGTGGAAGTAGGTAGGGAGAAGGAGTAGCAAGCACTTTTGGAAAGGCCCATAGACACGCTGAAGGAAGTATGATTCAGCGTAGTGAGTGATACAGAGTGAAACTGTAAGTCGTTGTTCGTGTCTGTTACTTGTTAAACTTAAGCTAAGTTTACTTGAGCTAAAGGAGAGGGGATATTTTAGTTGGCTATGGAAAACACTAGTGCTGATAGTGTGATCTCTACAAGCCTGTTTCAAAACACTATCAGTCCTCACTGAATGTTTTTGTCAGTGAAAGCTAAATGTCATAGCGTCCCTGTTAATGCTGTTGTCCTTCCATTCATTGACCAGATGGATAAGATATTTTAGGAGAGAGAGAGAGAAGCGGGAGATAGGCAGGGCAGCTGATTCTGAGATCAGTAGTGGTCTACAGGTCTAAGGAAATGTGGGCTATTTTGTTTTCTTCTAACAACAGACATTTGTTGGCAGGTCTAGGCACCAGGGCATAGCCTAAAGTAAATTATTTCATGATATTTATTATTTGCTGTATTGTGACCCACTTAACTTTCTGTATTCATTGGGTGTAATAAATTAAATATGTAGATGTTGCCTAAATGGCTAGGTTATACCTTCATGAGCATATACCCACAGATATACACGCAAGAAAATATAGCAAAATAAAAGCAATCATACATACAGTACATGTATCCATACATATAGTAATTATTACTCCAAATCTTTTATTCCCTCCACCATCAGGTTATTAAATTCAGACAGTAGCCACTTTAAATAGGATCTTTATCAACAGCTTTCGGTATGCATGCCAAGCTATAGAGCAAAATCACACTCTGATTGAACCAATCCACAGTGCAGTAACGGTAAATAGCATTCTTTGGACCTGCAACTTATCTAAAAGAGAGAGGAATTAGATGTGGTATTACTTTATCACACATTTACATGAGCAGCTGGGTAGCATTTAAGTCACAGCCTACAGCAGAACTCAGTCTGGCCTAAGTGAATGCAGCGTTGATGTGTGTGAAAGCTAACGTGACATGGATGTCGGAGCCACACACATTTTTTTTCGCTTCCGACGCCCGTGTAACATTATGGTTGTTGACACAAGTGTAGTTCTAATACAGAAACAAAAGATGCGAGTGCAAAGATTTTGCAAGCGCACGTTACACTAGACCAAGTCACTTTGCCTTTTGAAAATGTGATAGAGGGTTAGCAAAAATGTCACAGTACTACACGTTAGTGGACGGGGGGGCTAAGACTTTCAATCCTAGTGATGTCCTTGCTTCAGATAGTGTTTATTAGAAAACAGACAGGATCCATGGTGATGTTTGACAGCACACATGAACCGACAGGTGAAGAGTCAAACTCCTCTCCCACCAGAATCTGACTCCTGATGTCCATGGTGCAATATGGTGATACTGTAGCATCACTGTTGTGATACATCTTTTCCTCCATTACTCATCCCGCAACCTATATGATAAATGATGATAAATAGATTGTATCTCTTTATTTGAAATACCTGGTTGTTAATGTGGAGTGATTGTCATGTACTGAATGACATAGGTCCTTTACATGACATGTAGTGTTTGTGTGTAAGTATACTGAACATTGAATGTTATTCCTTCATTTAGCGCATACATTTTAAAAGAGGAGTGGCAGACAAAAAATACTGACACAGAGGCAGTCAGTGACGGAATCACAAAACACAGTGTAGAGTTAAGTGAACATTTCTTTATTTGCAGTTAATATATTATCAGATATAATAAAGAGGAGACTGTTACTGACTCCATTAAGGCTGAAAACCCATTCAAGCCAAACACACAGACATCCGAACAAATATGTCAATAACAATGTTAAATGAAAGTGAATTAAAATAAGTTATTCTGACATGAAACTGAGCTCAAGCTGCTGTAGCTTCACGATTTAAGGAAGTTAACTAGAGTTAAACGTTCCTGTTAAACGAAGTTGAAATCCAGCTGCTGTGTTCTGAACTGGCTGCAGAAAATAAAGATTTTCACAACTGATGCAGGAAAAGACATTTTATAAAACTCACAGTGGGCTTCCTGATATGAGATGAAATCAAGACTTGAATATTGTTGTTCAAAGTCAGACTGAAACAGAAACAGCTGAGCACAAAACACACAAACATTTCTCACACTGATAAATAAAAACAAAAACAATCAGTAATAAAAACCTAAAAATGATCTTATGAGATTTTTGTTCTCTAAAGGCTTCAACTACTCGTGTAAATGTGCTGTTATTTAACTGCAGTGGAGTCTTTTCTCTGATGAGCTGATGTTGATATGGAAGTTGTTGATCAGTGGAGTCTGACAGAGGCAGAAGGGTCTCCATCGTTTTCATAGTTCACCACACCATCATCTTCATCTTCATCATTATTCACCTGTGAAACACAAAGAACCCACATTTAACACAAGGAGATAAGACACATGTCTTTGGTGTGAGAGACCCGGGTTCAATTCCTCACTGTGACCCATCCACCGATGTGTCCCTGAGCAAGACACTTAACCCGTAATTGCTCCAGAGGCGTACGACCTCTGACATATATAGCAATTGTAAGTCGCTTTGGATAAAAGCGTCAGCTAAAATAATTAATATAATGTAATGTAAGGAGATAAGAAACAATCTGACAGCACCTGAACGCACCATTAGCCACTATTATGTGTTTCTGCCACTGAGAGAGGAAGTGGTTCACATGTTCTTACCAGCTGACCAGAGAGGGAGTGTTTATGTGGTACTCCAAATACAAAAACAAAATGTTCCTCTTGACCACTTCAGTACAACTCAGTGAGTCCTGTTTCTGTTTGTCTTCTTCTATCTATATCTACACTTCAGAATGAAGAACAGATGTCACAAACACTGGTTTGCTGTGTAAAGTACCAACTGTAAAAACATTATAAACTCACTGTGTTTTCATCCATCTGTGTTTTTGTCCCTGAAAAGAAAAGAGAAAGAGTCGACTTTAGTTTCCACAGTGAAAATCCAGCTTTATCAAAACTTCTTGATTTTCATCTGTGAATGTTCTCTCCTTTAGTTCTTGTCCATGTGTTGACTGCCACAACAATTATTATGAGTGCTGCTAAAGCCACAGACGATAATGTCTTACTTACAGCACCGCAGAGAGTGGCAGCATGACACAGCAGGTCCCTCTACCCTTTCGTAGTTTAACCTTTTCTATATTTTAGAGATTTCTATTTAACCTTTTACTTATTACACTTTATTTATTTGCACATTCTAGCCTTTTCCTTTTGTAAATAGTACTAAATTCATGGACAACAGTTAACGTAACCTGAAACAGGATAACGTTACACAGCCAATGGACTCCTCGACCACCAGATAGCAAACTACCGAACTCTGCTCACGTGAGGAGCTCTTACATTTTTGGGATCGACCTGTTGAACTTTCCGAAGGAGATCCTGTTGAAGTTAAAGATAAGAAGGTGAGGATGTCGTGCTGGCGTGATGGTGAGGAACAAGAAGACAGGGAGTCGGTGAAGACACAAGCCCTGTCTTCCCTCGGTCGTCATGGGGAACGTCCGCTCACTGACAAACAAGATGAACTCTCGGTTCTGGTCAGCGGCCAGTGAAAGTATCAGGAGTGCAGCATGTTATGTCTGACTGAAACGTAGCTGAATGGGAAAACACCAGACTGCTCAGTGGAACTAGCCGGCATCTCACCAGTTTGAGCAGATAGGAAGAAACAGCGCAGTAAGAAATTGGGAGGAGGACTTTCTGTCTTTGCAAACTCCAAGTAATGTAACCCAGGACATGTTACCACAAAGTGGCGGCGCACGCTTGTGACATCATTCACTCCACCGTAGCGGACCTGTAGACACGGCATCCGAACGCTCTCCTTATCAATAATGGAGATTTTAACCACGCCAAGATCTCAAGGACGCTGCCCAACTTCAAACACGTGCGTTACCTGTAACACCAGAGGAGACAAGACCCTGGATCTTCTGTATGCCATTGTTAAGGAGGCATACAGCGCCACCGCACTGCTTCCTCTTGGCAAATCTGTCCACTGTCTGGTACTGCTGACTCGAACGTACAAGCCTGCTGTTAGGAGACAGTCTGTCACCACCAAAGACCGCCCAAACCGAGACCAAGTCAAGACCAAGACCAGGGTTAATCGAGACTGAGACAAGACCAAGACTTTTAGGGGCTGAGACCAAGTTGAGACCAAGAGCGAGCAAGGGCGAGACCGAGTCAAGACCAAGACCAGTTCCCCACATCACATGACACACGATAAAATGTGGAACGTGATCATAGGTGCTTCTCCCATTGATCTGAAAGATGAAGAAGGCCAGCTCAGTGGTGGGGGTGGAACTGGACAGTGTGGAGGCAGTGACTGAGAGGAGGATGAGGGGGAAGCTGAAAACCATCATGGACAACCCCTCTCATCCTGTCTATGCTGAGCTGAGGCAGCACAGGAGCTCCTTCAGCCACAAAAACAACTGACTGAGACTGGCTGAATAAGAGAATATCTCCACCCACAGCCAGGCCCGCATTAACTTGCTGTTCGGCCCTGGGGCTGAGAGGTTTTGTAGGCCCACAATAAAAACAATAAAAATGTGCTATGACCACTTTTGTCTATACTTCGCGCGACAGTATGATCAGTATACGTACAGAAAAGGCAATAAGTCACCTCATGAGCTATGCATTTCCTTGTTATTTCTGACTATTTGAAAACCAAAATATATCCACAACCTGGAGGAGTGAAGGTATAAATGATAATACTTTAAATAAAAAGTAGGTATTACTAGTATAATAATATATTTACATGTTACACATTATTTAGATCATCTGCCTTCAGATAGATTATTAGTTGAGATTCAGCTGTTTCACAAATAAAACCATTTTCTGATATTAGCCTACACCATTGTGGTTAAGGTTGATTAGTGCTAATGTTTGTATATTCATTATAATTTCAGATAATACTATAGCTTACCATTATTACAAATATTAATTCCAAAACAGCAGTTTAATTTTTGTGGGTTTCTTCAGTCATTAAATTACTGTGCAAGAAAAATGCATGTTTATGCAAAGTACTAACTTCTCAGTAATAATAACCATGCACACAGAGTTCAACATTTCAACAAGTTTGCTTGTACCTTAACCTTTTTTTACTGTCCCGCTATCTCCAGGTTGTGATTGGTTGGTTTGCGAAAAGGAAATAGGTGAGTTTAGCCCACAGTCACTATATTATCATGCACCTTAGAGACTTTGCCGTGGATTGGGTGTATTTAGAAGAAAACATATTTAGAGTGATTTTTTTTTACTTTAATTTCAGGAAATTTCTGATTTTTATTCCTGTAAATTTTACACTTTCATCTAGGATTTTTTTTTCTCGGTTTATTAATCCCCACTCTGGCTCCATATTTTTTTGGACACGTAAAATAAATCTAAATCTAAATATGTGAATACACTTAGGAGAATTCAATTATAGCCTACAATTATAGCCATCGGTTACCACCTTCTCAACTCTTCTGTTTTTTTCAAACTTTGTTCAGAATTAGTATCCATGTTTTCCGTAGCTTTTTCCAAAAACATTAACTGACACTCTTTTTATGGCAGACCCCAAACAGAGAGGGAATATCTCTCATATTCATAGCTCTTCAAACTCCTCCAACTCCTCAATCTGTGCCCAACACGGGCTGATTCAGAATCAGCTTCATTTGCCAGGTACACATACGAGGAATTTGACTCTTGTACAATGCTCACTATGTACTTACTTATACAATAATACAATAACACAATAATACAGTAATAAAATCAAGAGAGAACACATATATACACACTATGAACAAACAGACAGATTGAGACAATAGTGCAATAGTGCAATGAGCAGAGTGCAAAGGATACAGGAGTAAATTATTATTACCATTACTGTTATTATTATGGACATGTGGATGGAGGTGGATGTGACATACAGGTGCACATACACATACAAACATACATGTACACAGTGTGATGGGTGCAAAGAATGCTGGAATGAATATTGCGTGCGGTGTTACGTGCATGAGGTAGGTGGATATAATATACAATATGACAATATGAACAGCTTTGAAATGGAGAATGATGAATAAATAAATGGTAAGTGGTAGCCAGTAAACAGGAATTATTGCACAGGAATTGTTCCTGACACTGTGAAACAGAAATCAGCTGTTCATCAGAGTGATTGTGGGAAGAAACTGTTCCTGAGTCTGTTGGTTTTGGCGTACAGTGCTCTGTAGCACCTACCAGAGGGAATAACCTGGAACAGATTGTGTCCGGGGGTGAGATGGTTCTGCAGTGATGTTTCCTGCCTGTTTCCTGACTCTGGAAATGTATGTCCTGAATGGAGGGCAGGTTGGCACCTATTCATTTTTCTGCAGTCCTGATTGTCTGTTGTAGTCTGCTCCTGTACTTTCTGGTGGCAGATCCAAACCAGACAGTGATGGAGGTGCAGAGAACAGACTGGATGATAATTGTGTAAAAGTGGATCAGCAGCTCCTTAGGCAGGTTGAGCTTCCTGAGCTGACGCAGGAAGTACATCCTCGGCTGGGCCTTGATAACGGTGTCAGTGTTGGGCTCCCACTTCAGGTCCTGGGATATAGTGGATCCCAGAAACCTGAAGGATTCCACAGCAGACACAGGAATGTTGAGTATGGTGATGGGGGCCGAGTGGGGGAGCTCCTCCTGAAGTCCACGATCATCTCCACAGTTTTGAGCATGTTAAGCTCCAGGTTGTTCTGACCGCAACAGAGAGCCAGCTGATCAACCTCCGGTCTGTAGGCCAATGACCGTTGTGTCGTCAGCAAACTTCAGGAGTTTGACAGATGGGTCTCCTGAGGAGCAGTCGTTGGTGTAGATTCAATGCAAACTCATACACAGAATTTTTTATACAAACCACAGATTGTCCAAAATGTATCCCAATGGATCAAATAGGTACTATATAACCTGAGGTTGGAAAGACTAAAGTTCTCCCTTATGGGGTTCCTTGAGGTTCCCTTCGTAGTAAAGGCCTTTGGTCTACTGATGCTGTGTTTCTTGAATGACTGAAGAGCCATGTAGTAGCCTACTGTCACAGTTACCCTGATCGTATATCACATTTTCACAAGACAAAGTGACTTCATCTCCAACTCTAACAGGGAAGAGAAGGAGAAGTTGTCTGGTTGCTGATGCTGAGTTGATGAGAGAGAAATATATTTACAAAAATGTTATTAATATCAATGTGACAACAAATGTTTGATTAGGTGCCTCAGCCTCAGTCTGCAGGAGTTCACATCTGCCTTGCTGGAAATCAAACAGACTTGGCTGTTTTTGTTAAATGAAGGTTAGGTAATAAAGCAGAATTAACAATGTCAATCCTAACATGTAAACTAAAGCACCAGCATGAGAAATAAAGACATTTTAATCCATCTGAACTCAACCATCGCGCCTCTTTCTCATTCTTTTCTGTCTTCTTCTTCTACTTCTTGAAGAGAAATGTTTTAACTGTTTTCTCTAATTAGTCACGTGTCACTTCCTCATAGTGACTGTCCTTTCTTTTTCCTCTCATATGTCAGTTGTTGCTTCAAATGTAGGCACACTTCCTTCTCTAATGGCTGACATGAGCTGGTATGAAGTTCACACTGACCTGTACTATCTGGAATTTCATACAGGAACATAAAAAATAACCTGAACAGAAATATAGGTGTTAAAATGACTGCATATCAAACAATAACAGCTGATACAGAAATAACAAACGTTATTTACTAATACATGTTTAACTACAACACAGCACTAGCAGTGCCTGACAGCAAGTTCATCAAGCTAAATGTCCCATATATTATGTTCAGTAACATTTCAAGCAGCCACATAATGTTGTTATTGTGCTACTAGTTAACCTACTGCACCCCCTCCTGGACCAAAAAGGCTTTTTACAGCAATAAATCCTGAAAATGATCATAAAATAAGTCTAATAAAAACATTTAACAGTTATCAATGGACTGTAATGATATGAGCTGTAACTACACTGTGGTCTCTTATTTGTTTGGTTTGTTGACGGTGGCGTAGAGGTCGCTGGGATCAGCTGAGGCTCCAGCAGAAGAAGAGGAAGCTTTCACGCTGCTGTAGGTCACTGCATCATCTTCATCATCACCATCTTTACCCAGAACCTGGAAAAGAGACAAACAGCACAACACAGAAATTACACAACATTAAATGAGAGAAGTGTTTTCATTCACTGCCATCATCACTAGAACCAATCAGACAGCTTACCCGGCCTTTACTGTTGGTCTTCCTGGTGTAGCTGATGGAGGCGTAGGAAACACCATCTTCAGGATCAGCCTACACAGAGAAGACAACATAATGGCTGCTCAGTAACATGTGGACTTGATTGTGTTCTGGTCTGTTCTGGTGTCGTCCAGCTGCATCATCAGACTCCCCACTTCTTCTCTTGCAGAAAGAACTTAGATTCAAGAGTCACTGTGTGTCTCATAGAGCTACATTTTGAACAACAAATCTAAAAACAGTGAGTGTAACTTTGTCCTGGGTGTAGTGTGAGATCTCACCGTGTCCTGACTGCTTTCTGGACTCACTGCAGGGTTTAAGATCCGTCCCTGAAAACAACAAACAAACAGAGTCTACTTCCATGTGGTCAAACACTGGCTCTGTGAAGGCTGTTTAGATTTGGATGACTCTGTCAGAGAGCAGCTGATTCAGCTCTGTCATAACTGTAGAAACATTTGATTACTCAGCCGTAAAACTCACAATGTTTTCATCCATCTGGGTTTTTTTTCCTGAAGAGACAAAAGAGAGTCGACTTTAGCTTCAACAATAAAAATCCAGGTCCATCAAAACTTCTTGTTTATAATATCTGTGGTTGCTCTCACCTTTAGTTTTCTTCCATCTGATGAGAGCAACGACAATAACAACAGTTATTAAGAGTGCTGCAACTGCAACATACCACCACCAAACTCGATAGACTATGAAAGTCAAAATAATATTTTGTTACTTTGTGTTGTGTGAAGACGTCTGACTGAATAAGAAAATATCTCCTCCCACAGTTGAGTGTTGCTCTCACATTCAGACTTCAGAAGAGGAGAGATACAATTAAAAATCAGTAAATCAATAATAATTTTCTCGATCACTTCCTATTTTCTGTTTTATACTACAATGAATGGTCAGTTTTGTCTTTCTAGAAAGTGACTTAATAAAAGAGGCTTTGATTATTTTATGTTTTGCCATAAAAATGCCTAAAAGTAGAAACATGCAAAACAAAAAATTAGACAATGAATAAAATAAAAGTAAAATAATGAGGTTTATTATGGGGAGAGAAAGAGGCTGACACTAGAGAAAGATGAGTTACTACCTTGTAGTTCTATTGAAGTATCATTAGTTGTTGTTGTGGCTGTAACTGATTTTGTGTTTTCAGTAGTTGTTGTGTTGTTGTTTGTGCGTCACCTGCATGAATAAATTAACACAACCCAAGAAACTGTTCAGTTAGAAAATCCCTCATGTTTACCATCTGCTGTCACTAAATGAGAAAGAATGATGTCATCTTAAAAAGTCATCAAATAAACAAATGTTTTGGTGGTTTTAGTCATCTTGAACAGCTCAGCATATTCTCACCTGTTTTCTCACCTGAGGACTGAGGGCTGAAGGTGAACAGCTGCACTTTTCCAGAGTAACCATCTGTCACTTCACACTTCAAGTTAGACTTTGATTTGTAACTAAAATGAGAATCCAGGAAAGACACAGCGGCGTAGCAGACAGCCTGCCATGTATTCATTTCTTTGTTATCTTTGTCCACATCTTTACCCTCATACAGCCACTTCACTGTGTGTCTACAGAACTGTCCATATTTCAACACAGAGCAGTTTAACGTCACCTCATCAGCGTCCTTATGTTCAGTCACTGGTGAAGATGGAGATATTGTGAGAGAAAGACAACAAGAGTAAAGTTAACTTCATCACTGTGATCATAATTATTGTAATGTTTCAGTATATTGTTCTAACAAGACAGTTTGAGCTGAAAACATTATGATGGAAATACTCACTGATAATAACAGACAGATGAACATGAGAGCCTGAAATTTGTTGTTTTGATATGAACTGTCTGCAGTCATAACGACCAACATCCTCGACTGTGACCTTCTTTATAACCAGAGAACAGTTCTCTGTAACACTCAGTCTGTCTGATTTAGCTTTGGCGTTTTCACCAATCTGCCCAAGATTAACCAGCTCTACTGCTGCTGTGTTTCCTGAACCTTCAAAGAGCCATGTAGTATATTCACAGTTTTGCTGACCGTCTATCACATTTTCACAAGGCAAAGTGACGTCATCTCCAACTCTGACAGTGAAGGAGAGGGGAAGTTTTTCAGCTGCTGCTGTTGAGAAAATGATGAAAAATAAAGTGAAATGAGAAAATGTCTGTTATGTTCATAGTTAGTGACGATTATTTCTTTATCCTTAGTTTCCAAGAGTTCACTAAACTCACCACATTAGAAACAACAGATTTGGTTTTCTTAGTTAAATCAAATGTAGCTAATAAAGAATCTTTAATAATATTGATCAAGTTATTTTTTACAATGTGCCTTCCATTTATATATGTGATATATGTATTCTTACCTGTAAACTGAAGCACCGCTGTAAGAAATAAAGAAATCCATTTGAACTCAACCATCATGATTCTCTGAGTCTCTCCTTCTTCTGTCTCTTGTTCTCGTGCTCAGAACTGTCTGAGTTTCTAAACTAGTGCTTTAGTAGAGAGACGCTGCAGCTACTTCCTGTGGTTAGGATGATGTCACTTCCTCATAGTGACTTTTAGTCTGTTTTAGATTTCAGTCTCTCTGAATTTCTTATCGATGTCCAAACAGCCAAAAACTCTGTGACAGTTTTTATATTTTTGAAATGTAGTTTTCTCTCATCCACAGTGACTGACAGAGACCCCAAATTCTTGATCAGCAACATGAGATGCAGCCATCAGAGTTCACACTTTGTTCATTCAGGTCTATTTGTGACAATGACGTGTTTCACCAAGCGAAAAGAAGAAGAAGAGGAAGTTGAAGGTGTGAAGATTGTTACTTAAGATAAATGTTTGCGATGATGCAACTTGTTTTCTTCAGATAGTGTTTATTAGAAAACAGACAGGATCCATGGTGATGTTTGACAGCACACATGAACAGACAGGTGAAGAGTCAAACTCCTCTCCCACCAGAATCTGACTCCTGATGTCCATGGTGCAATATGGTGATACTGTAGCAGCTGCTGAAGAACACAGATAAGATGATATTTTACTGCTCTGAGATCTGCTGGTTCCTCATTTTATCTAAATTTGTTTTTCAGAGAATGGAATCTTAGCAGAAGTTCAATCAGGAAGACATCGTTCATGCTGACTCTATTTCTCTCCCGCCCCCTCTCTTCCTTTATTCTGCTTAGAACTCAGTTGCTTCCCCCCAGGTGTCTTTGTAACCCTCCCTGATCGGAGTGGACAGGCTGAACTCCTTTTAACCAGTCAGGAGTTTTAATCAGAGTGAGGTGTGGCCCTGTGCTAATGTGTAGCAGAGTGGAATTACTCACTGAGCTCAGGAGGAGGAAGAAACAAGGAAACAATAGGAGACTTTCTCTATGTACCTTTGAGCAACAGGCCCAAAGGAAATTTCTTTAATAAACTTCAGTTTACACAAAAGCTAAAAAGGTCCCAGTGAAAGAAAAAGAACAGAGGAATGTGTATTATAATACCAAAAGCTACAGCTTACATAGATTAACAGACAGGATGTGACAGTATACTTCGGATGCTCAACGCTTGCTGGGATTGGTTGATCTCTAGTGTCCATGCAGACATGTCCTTTTGTGATTGGACGTCCTACACTGTTCACTCAGACAAAGCATGTCAAGTACTCTGTGATTGGATGTTTTCTGGTGTGCATTCAGTCCATGCGTGATCAGGTATCTTTTAATACATGCGGTTACAGTTTTTTCTGAATGCTTAAGCGCTAATCGTGATTCTTGTAGCACAATTTCTAAAACTATTAATACGTATAGCAAAACCACTCACTGAGTTTGCAAAACTAAAAGCACAAACACTGCTTTGCACTCAGTTTGCAATTTTGTAACAAACACTTTGCAAAACTGTAGGCACAATTCACTGCACAACACTCTTTTTGCAGAATTTTAAACACAACTCACTGCTTACACTCAATTACCAAATTTCCAACACACTCCTAGCAAAATTATACACATGTATGGCTATCATTAACACTATTTTGTCAACTGTCTGGCACACTTTCACACGTGAAAACTGTTTTAGATAATTAGTTCACTTTGCAATCAGCCTAAGCACTATAAATAAGCCACAGGTAAGCTGTCTGTGTGGAGTACAATGAAAGGAGCAGTAAGAGTGAGAAGAGTGAGAATCAGAGGAGGCCGAGGAGGCCGAGGGAGCAGATGGAGAGGACGTGGAGGTGAAGAAGTTGGAGGAAGAGGACGTGGAGGTGAAGAAGCGAGAGGGTTAGAGGAAGTTAGAGGAAGAGGACAAGGAGGAGCAAGAAGAGGACGAGGAGGGGAAAGAGGAAGGGTAAGAAGAGTAAGATATAGAATAACTGATGACATCAGAGCTACAATAGTGGACCCTGAGGGAAGCTGGCCAACGGGTTCAGCCTAATTTGAGCTGCTACACTGTGGCAAGCATCATTAGGACATTTCGAAATGAGAATCGGTAAGTACTTTGTAGCACTGCCTTACTCTAATGAGAAACACAACAGTACCATACATGCAAAAATACTGAAATTGTTACTTTACAGAATTGCTAGACGTCCACATGTTGGGGGCAGAGGAAGAATGTTCACTCCAGAGCAAGAGACCCATATAGTGAACATGGTGATTGCCAATAATGCAATAAGACTGCGCGAAATACAGCAGCGCATAATTGATAATGACACCATCTTTCAAAATATACACAGTGTAAGCATTTCTGCACTAAGTGGTGTACTTGCGCACCACAGAATAAGAATGAAGCAAATTTACAGAGTTCCTTTCGAGAGAAACACAGAACGTGTAGAGCAACTGCGATATGACTATGTGCAGGTAAGCTATAGTGTCATTGGTTCTGAATTTGGAAGTGCATACTGTAGAGCTGTGCATGGGCCTGATGTGCTGCATTTGCTTTGTCTTGTACAGAGAGTGATGGAACTAGAAGCAGATGCCATGGGACATGAGCTACTTTTTGTAGATGAGGCCGGTTTTAACCTCAGTAAAACCAGGAGACGTGGCAGGGACATTATTGGACACCGTGCCATCATCAATGTCCCAGGACAACGCGGTGGTAACATAACCATGTGTGCAGCTATAAGCCAAAATGGTGTTGTTCACCATCATGCAACCATAGGCCCATACAACACTGCACACATTATTGCATTCCTGGACACCTTACATGACATGCTCACTGTTCAGAGACCAGAGCAGACCCGATATGTCATCATATGGGACAATGTTAGTTTCCATAGGGCTGCTTTGGTCCGCAACTGGTTTACAGACCACCCATTCTTCACGGCACTCAACCTCCCTCCATACTCTCCATTCTTAAATCCCATCGAGGAGTTCTTCTCTGCCTGGCGCTGGAAAGTGTACGACCGTCATCCTCATCAACAGGTAGCCTTTTTACAGGCAATGGAGGAGGCATGTGGAGATATTGACCAGGCATCATGTCAGGCCTGGATATGCCATTCAAGGAGATATTTTCCCCGGTGCCTTGGACTGGAAGATATCGCATGCGATGTGGACGAACTTTTGTGGCCGGACCCAGAAAGACGACATGATGTAGGCTGATTGTTGGTTTTTTTTTTTGTGAAATTACTATTTTGTGTTCTGACTTTGTCTTGGTTTTGATGAGTGTGAATAAACACCAGTACTTGAAGTTTGGATCCTTGTATGTTTACATGACACTATGACAAAAGTATGACCTTAAATTGACATCTGTACACAGAGAAAGCAAAAGCCAGATGTGTTTTGTATTCATACCATCAGTGTGTAGTTGGCACATTGTGTGCTTAGTAGATGATGGCTTGTGTTTACTGTTTGATACGAAAACACCATTTTTACGAAGGTGTGAAGAGTTAATCTAGCTGTGTTCGCTTTTGCAAGAGAACTACAATGTTTTGATAATTGGGTGAAAGGTTTTCTTATTTGTGTGTAGAGTTTTGTAAAAATAGCCAATAGTTACAAAAAATGGGCTTAAGCAATCAGAAAAAACTGTAATACATGCCTGTCTGTCTTCCCGCCTTTTCACAGATGGCCCCATGTATGGCTTCCTTTTGACATTCAGAAATAGCTCCCATCTCACCCACATACCTGCAACGTCCTCTCTACTTAGTCCAAACTAAGTTTTAAAGTGAGCTTAGCAATAAATCATCA